ACACACACACACACACACTCACACACACACACACATATATACATAGAGTGTATATGCTGGGTCCCACCCACGCAGATCTCTCATAGATAAGCTGTGCAGGTGTTTGTCTAGGCGAAGCAGGTTTACAGAGGATTTGTCTTATGCCATGAAAGTGAGACAGTTGTGAACGTAATGATCATCTGGTGTGGTAGGGAGGGTTGGTGTGTATCAGGTAATGTCATCAGGAATTATAAATCTGCTTGTGTATTGTGTCTCAGCCTGTCTCACCACAATTTGACATCTTCTTCCCTTTCTGCAGCAGAGGCCAATCATGACTCAGGAGCGGGATCTCCTTCCCCAGAGCCGTCCACTCCGAGCCCTCGGCGGGTGGGCCCAGGGGAGCACGATCTGCTGACCTGCGGCCAGTGCCAGACCAACTTCCCTCTGGGCGACATCCTGGTCTTCATCGAGCACAAGCGCCGTCTGTGTCGGGGCCCCAGGAGTGGACCAGGGTCTTTCTCCAAGCCAGGGGAGAGCGGTGGGGTCACAGGCATTGTCATTTCTCCCAGGGCCAGGTCACTAGAGCTGTGCAGAGGGTCCATTCCAGTGGAGGTGGGCATCCAGGTGACCCCTGGAGGAGAGGTGGATGTGGAAAGGAGGCTGACGCCGGCCAAGGGAATCTGCCCCAAACAGGAGAGAGGAGGTACAGAGACTGGAACACAAGAACCAATAAATAGATGCACATGTCGTAAACACAAATAGATGCAAAAGCCATGTACACACACATACACACACACATCTCTCACCTGTCCGAGAAAGATAGCTCTCTTTAAAGAATCCCAGCTGCTTGTTATTTTGACAGTGGCCTTCAGGAGGGATTAATGTAGCCTGGGATGATTTCATTAGAGTGAGTGAGAGCTGCACTGTGTGTCTATTCTGCTCCGTTCTAAGTGAAACATCACACACACACACGCACACACATAAATGCACAAAATCACCCAAACACACACCCCAAACAAACACACACTGGCAGGCCTGAAGGACTTCTTCAGCTGAAACCAATTTTGAAAGGCAAGGAAGAAGGTGATAGAGGAGCCGCCCCAGTGTGTGTGTGTGTGTGTGTGT